TCTGCTACTGTTGCAGCTGCATAGAGTTGCCCTGCAGAGCACTTTCAAGTGGTCAAGTGCCTATTATGTCACAGCCTGAAGGAAGTGAATGTAGACCATACTGTAGGTTCACTGTGAAGAATTTGCACAACACTTTGCAGGCAGATTGCTTCAGATCCATTCTGGCTTAATGCTATAGTTGAGATAGATCCTGTGAATGTAATATGGCCCCCGCTTGCCCTGAATTCATGGATGAATTTCAGTTTCTCTAGCCTGATAATGTGGCCAGGACCCTTGAAGAGAGGCAGCCTATCTCATCTCTGTTGGCCCTTTGTCTTTCCTGGCTCATAAAAACTGCCAGAGTGGGTAGGAGGAGGGGTGACTGCCTTCTTGCAGCAGAGTAGGATCCCTGCATGCTTAAAGGAGGCAAAAGCCTATTCCTGGGCAAGGTGCTGGAGCAGCTTGTGGCTTCTTGGTTCAGGAATTCATGCATGAGATGAATTATTTAGATACATTTCAATCTGGCTTCAGGCCTGGTTATGGGATGGAGACTACTTTGGCCACTTCGGTGAATGACCTATGCCAGGAACTGTACAGGGGGAGAGTGTCCCCACCTCTCAGTGGCTTTTGATACCATCAACCATGGTATCCTTCTGGGCTGTCTCTCCAGGATGTGACTTCAAGGTACTCTTTTATGGTGGCTTTGGTCCTTCCTGGAAGAGAGAACTCCAAAGGTGATTAGAGGCACCATCTTGGAAAATAGAGCTGGGTAACATCTGTTGGCCTGTGGTGTCTCTCAGGGTACTTCTTTGTCTTCCATGCCATGTACACGAAACTGCTGGAAGCGGTTGTCTGGAATTTTGGGATGCAGATGACACCAGACTCTATCTCTCCTTGCCATCTAAATCCAAGGATGCTATTTCAGCTCTAGGTCAGTATCTGGTGTTAGTAATGGACTGGATGGGGATAAATAAACTGAAACTTAATCCAGGCAACATAGAAGTGCTTCTGGTCAGTTGTAACACAGATCAAGGGATAGGGATTCAGCTTGTGCTGGATGGAGTTATGCTCCCTCTGAAAATATAGTTGCATAGCTTGGGGAGGGGGACTTCTGGATTTGTCTCTGAGCCAAGATTTCCAGGTTTCAGCATTGACCAGGAGTGCCTTTGCACAATTAAAACCAGTGCTCCAGCTGTGCCCATTCCTAGAGAGGTCTAATCTGGCCATGGTGTCTTAGTTACATGCTGGCTGGGTTACTGTAATGCACTCTATGGTGGGGATGCCTCTGGAAAGTATCTGGAAAATTCAGTGGGTCCAAAGCACGGCAGCTAAATTGCTAACTGGGGCTGATCACCAGGATCACACAACCCCTCTGTTACTACAGCTCCTCTCATTGCTGATCTGTTTTGGGGCACAATTCAAAGTGCTGGTTTTAACCTACAAAGCCCTAAACAACTTGAGTCTAAACTATCGCAAGGGCAGTGGCTCCCTTTATGAGCCTGCTCAAGTGCTAAAATCATCAGAAGAGGCCTTTTTCTTGGTCCCACTAGCAGCTTCAGTTCGTTTGGTGAGGATACAGGAGAGGGCCTTCTCTTTTGCTGCTCTCAGACTTTGGAACTCCCTCCCACAGGAAGCCAGGCTGGTCCCTTTTTTTGCTGTCCTTCCACAAGCAGACAAAGACCTTTCTCTTCAGACAAGCTTTCCTTTAATGCCTGCTTACCTGAGTGGGGTTTCTAAATGGTTAGTTGTGCCTTATTCATTTGAATAATGCCTGCTTACCTGAGTGGGGTTTCTAAATGGTTAGTTGTGCCTTACTCATTTGTGTTTCTGATTTTGTTTACCATCCTTTAGCATAATATTTATTTGATCCTTTTTAGTATTTGTATATTTACTATTTTTAACTTTAAACACTTTTAATGATGTAATCTGCCTTGGGTCCTTTTTAAAGATAAAATAAGGGTGATAGATGATAGACAGACAGACAGACAGACAGATAGACAGACAGAGATGCACTTATTATTTGACATGTTGTGAGCCTCTTTGAGCACTATTAGTGGAAAAGCAAGATACAAATAAATAGGTGTATGTATGGATGGATGGATGGATAGAGAATGCTTAGTTTGCTTCCAAAAAAGAATTTTTCAGCAATTCCACCTGGATTTCCTTGCTGCTAAGATGGAAGAATTTCAGACATTTCCTTAAAAACCTATTTCCATGTGTCCTCTAACATATGGGTGCAAACACCAAACAAAACCAGACCTTATGCAGCCTGAGTAAGATCAGGAAATATTATAAGTCCATCAGAGGGCACATGCTTTGCAAGCAAAAGGTGCCAGCTTTGATCCCTGGCTTCTCCAGTCCAGGCAAGGAAAGAACTCCTATGCAAAACCCTGGAGAGCCACTGCTAGATACAGCAGATGATACTGAACTAGGAAGACCAATGGTGCAAGTCAACATAAAGGTTATTCCTCATATTGTATATTATTTATTAATTGGGTAATTTGTTGCCATTTTTTCTCTTTGTAACACCCATATTCAGACTTCTCATGTTTCTAACATAAGACAAGTGTTCATTTCTTTAACCTTCTAACCAAACAGCCTTGTATCACAGAGAACTAAACTGTTTGAGCTCTCATCAAGTAAACAGAGGTGGGTTCAGAGTGTCAATCACTTTAATAAATGACTGAATGAACAAGAGAGAGAGAGAGAATTTAGGAATGTAAGGCAGTGTAAGAATCACTTAAGTAAAGCAGATGCTTAACATGTCATTTGAAATTTATTATTATTTATTACATTTCTATCCCGCCTATCTAGTAACCTGAACACAGGTTATGAATTGTACAGGCAGGCATGGTGGTCAAACAAAATGACCGGTGTCTTGATGAATTTGGTGGTAATGGAAGGGTGATCATGTAAGCATTTGTCACCTTTCGGCAGGCTGTCTGTCATGTGCATGCAGTTACATAATTAGTCATCTGACAAGAGGTCATCTTAAGCAGGGAAAAGCTTATGTGATTTCTCTTACACTCTGTACAGGATATTACCCATGTCTTGCAGAACTAGAAGGCTTCTGCTATCCCATACCTAGACAGCAGGACAGAGGATCTCTTAGCGTTGGCCACAAATATTTTTAATTAATATGATTTCTAGAAGGACTGAATGATTGTCTGCATTAAATAAAAATAATTAAAATCTGCAGCACATTCTTTGAGAGTGCTCAGAGATGGCAGAAAGGAGATGGAGAGCAGCAAATTGATTTTCCATTTTAAACTACCTCTATCCTATTGTTTTCAAGACTGTTTTCTGTCCAGCCAGCTATTTCTTCTAAGATTCGACAGCTCTACATCCTCATCCTCATTTCTGACAATGTCGAGAGATTAGTGCATCATGAAATGCATTTTGTAAATTTAACTGTACTTTCTGCGCTGGATTTCCTTATCCATTTGAACAGTGACATCTCTAAAGACCTGCTGCAGGCCATGATTGGATTGTTCCTACCAAATTCTTGCAACAATTTCTTGTATCATATAGAGTAACATACCCTAACATTATTTATATATCCCCTCCCCTCAACAGATACAACAGCTGAAAGTAAGGTTGCATGTTGAAGATTTGCATGAGAAGGGTTTGCTTCTGAACTTGTGTTACTCATGGTGATTGTTAACACTATGGTGAGAACCTCAGCTGGGTGGTGGAGAAATTGCAGAATTGTATAGGGGGCCTCAGAAGTAGAGGTAGTTAGGGCTTATTGGTGCACCCCCTCTTTGTCTTGCCTCTTTTTTGCTTCCTTGCCTATAGATCGAGACTGCAACCTTGACTCCACTTCCTCCCACACACCTCCCTCTCTTGTCTCTCGTATGTAGTCCATGGTAGCAGACCTCACATTTTCTCTGTCCCAAACATATAGCTCCTTTGATCTCAATGAACAGGGTGCAAAAAGGCTTCCAAATAGGGAGAGTGTTATCTTGTAAAATCAGTTTCGATACATCCATGGATTGCTACTCCAGCAATCAACCCATTACATGCAAACAAGCTCCACTGACTACAGTAGGAGGTATTTCCATCTCTCGAAAGTGGTTTTAGATTCTGAGCACAGGTGGCTAAATTCACCTCTTGGGTATTTCAAGTGATCAACCAACTGCAAACTGGAGTCTTCAGCATCAGTTTCTTGCTCTTCTTTTCTCTCCCCTGCTGAACAATGTAAAGTATTGAAATGAGAAAGCTGCATATTGGATCACCAGACAAACACACACAGAGAAATGTGTGTGGATGCACGCACACATGTGCATTTGCGTTTCCAATCCACCGTGGCATATGTTTTTCAGGAAAAAAAATTCACTTAGAGAAAATTATTTCTATTTTGAATCAAACTGCACACTGAAAATCGGCCAGCTCAGCCAGCACATTGATCTTCCTTTTTCTCTGTTGTTTTGATCTTTCTCCTTCAGCGGTGTTGCTTTTCGTTCAGGAGCGGTGAGATGTGCCCTTCAGGAGGAACGGTCTGCCTTCTTGGCCAACAGGGGAACAGCCATTGCTGCTTTCCTCCATCATCGCCACCACCAGTGAGAGAGCGAGAGCTCATGTGTCAGAAGATGCTGCTTCCACCTGAAAGGCAAATACAGTACCGTTGGACGGTTATATACCTCCCATGAGAGAAACATTTTTCATGGCTATAACAAAAATGCAGCACGGATGACGCCAGGTTACGTACGATTCCTGTGGGCTAAAGATTGTGAAGAGCAGGCGGGATGAAACAGGGGTGCTGCTCTTGAACAGCCGATCCCAAAACGTGGTGTCCGGCTGATGTTTTGGGCTACAGGTCCCATAAATCTCCAAACAGCAGTCATTTTGGCTGGGACTGATGGGAACAGTAGTCCCAGACATCTGAAGGACGCCTCGTTGGTGCGGTTATTCACCGGTTGGGCGACATACCGTCCCTCCCTTCCTTTCAGCGCTAACGTGGAGAAAAGCTGAAGAAAGTGCACAAACGCGCGCGCCCGCGCATACACACACACACACAGAGAGACGACTTGCTGCGGGGCTCCAGCACGGCACTCCATTTTCCAGGTGATTCTGGGAACGCGAAGAACTGTCTCCCGACGCTGCATTAGGACCCAGGGAGAACTGCTCTATTCAGAGCCCAGTACGCCTGCGCTCTCCTGAAGTGTCCGGAGACCGGGGCTGCCTGGACTGAGCAGCGGCGAATAACGGCAAGAAAAGCGGCGGCGGCGAGTTCTCTGGCACCCAGCCTTGAGCACCACCTGAGAGATCCCTCGGGCAGGCGGCGCGTAGGAAGGGGGGAGCAGAGAGGGACGAGCTGATCTTCATTAATTACTCCACCGCCCAAGCGATCCACCTGAGGCTTCCGTGTTAGCCAGCCAGTCCTGCCTGGGATCACCAGCTTTGATCAGCCTTATCCCGTAGGGAAGGAAGAATCTCCCACACACACACACACACACACTTTGGTTGTCGATCCTCGCATTCTGCCTCCCTCTCCTGGTTTTGCTCCCCCCCCCCCGTTTCCCGTCCTTTGCTTAAAGGCAAAACACAAAAGCGTTGCCTCGCTTCGTCAGACGGAGAGAGAAAGCCTGCCGGGTCCGGGAGGGCTGGAGCGCTGTCCATTTCAGCACCACGCTCCGGAGCGCTGTCCATTTCAGCACCATGCCCCGCGCCTAAGTCTCCCGGCTCCGGGCGGGGAGAAAGGGGCCTTCAGGCGAAAGCTGCCCATACTACCAAGGGCGCTTTTTAGGGTTGCTGCGAAGTGTGAACTGCATCAACAAGGAGGAAGCTCTGGAAGACGGGAAGAAGAGGGAAAGGCTCTGGCGACAGCTTTCCTGGTCTCTTTTGTCTGCATCCGAGAGAATTCTGCAATTGGAGGGGGTTTGGAGATCTTTTCCCCCACTTTGATTTATTGTTGCTTCGTCGTCACCGCTGCTCCTTCAGAGGCTTTGAATTCAGTGTCTCTGTCGAGTCTGCTATTATTAAAACCTAAATATTAGGATTTCTACATGTTGAGCTCTTCTTAGCAGCCACCCTTTGCTCCTGCCTCTGCTTCTGGGACTCAAGTGCAGAACAGTTTTGTTTTTAAAGCCATCTTCAAGAGGTTTGATTTGATTGCTGCAGCTGGGCATTGGTATCTGCCCCCTTTCTTCCCCTCTCATCTTGTGTGTGTATATGTTTGTGCGTGTATGTGTGTGTTGTGTCTGTGAACCCTTTTAATCCCACTTCCTCCAGTATTTTTGTTACAGGCACCTACCACCTTCCTTTGAGTTCCCTTTATAGGTTGGCTCTGTGACATTACACATATTAATGGGCACATCTAACTGAAGGACCTATCTCTCTTGCTGATACTTATACGCCCACTTAAATCAACCAACCTTTCCTTCTCTATCACTCCTTTTGGAGGGAGTGCATTATCAGTGTTTTCCTTTTCCCCCTCCTTCTTTTTTCTTTTGTGGGTTCTGGATCCCTAACTGTAAATGATATCCTAATTACCATTTCAATGCTCCAGTACAGAATCTGGATCTGCCACCATTAACATTCACTGGTACTCGTGGCTCTGCATCACCAAGGATTGAAGGGTATAAGTGGCCAAGAACAGTGGATGCCCTTAATGTGGCTGCTTCTTGCCGATCTGGATAAGATCTCAAGTTAGTTATTGATTGCAGAAACCCCAACCCCTGATGTGCTTGTTGTGTGCTGTGCTTGCTTGGATGAGTCCACGACATGCCTAATAAGAGACGAGATGGGCCAGGGCGATGAAAGCGATCGCATTGTGATCAATGTGGGAGGGACTAGGCACCAGACATACCGCAGCACCTTGCGCACCTTGCCAGGGACACGGTTGGCCTGGATTGCTGAGCCAGATGCCCACAGTCACTTTGACTATGACCCCCGCACAGACGAGTTCTTCTTTGACCGGCACCCAGGTGTCTTTGCCCATATCCTGAACTACTACCGCACAGGTAAGCTGCACTGCCCAGCAGATGTATGTGGACCTCTGTATGAGGAGGAGCTGGCCTTCTGGGGCATTGATGAAACAGATGTGGAGCCCTGTTGTTGGATGACCTACAGGCAGCACCGGGATGCTGAAGAGGCCCTTGATAGTTTTGGTGGGGCCCCTCTGGATAGTAGTGCAGATGATGGAGATGCAGATGGCGCTGGAGACTCAGGGGATGGTGAGGAGGAGCTGGAGATGACTAAACGCTTGGCACTCAGTGATTCCCCAGATGGAAGGTCTGGGGGCTTTTGGAAAAGATGGCATCCCCGTATCTGGGCACTCTTTGAGGATCCCTATTCCTCCAGATATGCAAGGGTAAGCCACACACTGAGAACTTACAATGCCTTCCTATGACACACTTTTGGAGAAGTTCTATGTTTGTTATTGATATTTGTGCAAGGCCTTACATGTAAGAACAAATGGAGAAGCACGTGCCTTATAAGGTAAACATCACATGCGTACCTATAGGCTAGCAATGTGGAGCAAGAGCATAGCACATTGGGACACCAAGATCGCAATCCATTGTTTAAGTAGATGCCTTTCCACACTCAACAACATGTCTTGTTGTCAAGGTTGTCTCTTGGCCTGCCTATGCTTCCATTTCAACAATGTGAAGAGATATTCATTACTAAAGACACTTAACTAGAGGTGTTTACACTGAAGTCAGCTTTTTTTAAAGAGCTACAATAGTATTCTTTCTCTGATTTCTGAGTCAAATAGCAGAAACTAAATTTCCACTATTAATTTTTTTACTTTAACATTTGCATTTTCAATTAGACATTTATCAAGATGTGCATGGAAGACATATCATACTGAGGAGGGCAGGGTGACTATCTCTTGCCATTGAGGCAATTAGAATCAATAGAAAACATATTCTGCAGTCAGAAAATCATTGTGAATCAGGACAAAATAGGCCTTTCAAAATTGGTATCTCTTCATAATTTTGTGATAACTTAGGGATGAATTCCGCTTGCAAAACATCAGTGGGAGCTGGATAAATGTCATGTAGCTGCTGTTTGGAGGCATTGTGGAGAAAGAGAGAGTATGAATAAATAGGTGGATGGAAAAATGTTTCATTTTTGTGCGATTTTAATGGGATATTTGTGTGTCTGTGTGTCTGCATTTATTCCCTGTAGTGCCACACAAAAGTGAAGCACTTTTCCACCTGTCAACCCATCCTCTCCTTTATTCATTCATCCTCTCCATCTTCCAGATGACCTCCATTTATTACATTATATTTAAAGATGCTGGACTCTGGTTTTTGCTTTCTTAGTATGTTGATTGGTCTCTCTCTCTCTTTGTGTATGTGTGTCTGTGTTTGTGTCTGTGTCTATCTCTCTGTGTGTATGCAAGTGTGATGTATGTATGTGTGAGAGATTGAGATTGAGATTGAGATTGAGATTGAGAGAGAGAGAGAGAGAGAGAGAGAGAGAGAGAGAGAGGTCAACTAGCTGATTTTTCCTATGTGGAAAGAAGAGATGTCGAAGGTAAAATAGAATTTTATATATAGATTAGGATGGGCAAATTTTAAATTGTTGGAGAATTGTTGGATGCTTAATACAAGCATAATTACTTACTGGGAATATCAAGCTCAGCAAATATCTTGGCAGGGTAACTGATGTCAGGTTGGCGAAGGAGTGAATGAGATGCACTGCCTGGAGGAGAGTCCCGAGGTGCTTTCTACACATTCACTTCTTTTAAGTGACTTAGTTTTTTTTTCACAGACTCTTCTGAGATTTCCTACCGAATTAGCAAGCTGAAAGTTGTGAGTCTTTAAATAGTGTGCAGCAGAAAGGATTAATTAAATATTTACTACAAGATAAAAGGAAGCAACAATGCTTGGGTTCCAGTGATCTTTTCCAAGAGAACATGAAAACATGTGAAGAGTTTTTTAATCCCCCAGACAGACATGGTGGTTTTCTCTAATAAAGAAAATATGAAGATAGACGAGATTCTAAAGTATCTCCTTATGTCCTCCCCTTCGCAGTTGCTATAGTATAAACTGACTGAAAGCAGAAATAACCCATCATAGTTACCAATCCCTTATGCAATGTTCCTTAGTTCAAAATAGACTGTATCTGAAAAGAAAATCAATGCAAAAGGAAAGGATTTGCATGCACAAGGTTGAGTCTGTGTGGCAGAAATGGTTTCAGGTTGCAGGACTGGGAAATGCGTCCTGAAGAATCACTACTGATTAAGAGGAGGACACTGCTGAACTAGAGGTATCAATGGCCTTACCTAAGAGTAATGAGTCCCAAAGAACACCTACTGTATGTCACTTGTGGGTTTGGTGCAACATGCATCAATTATGGTAATGCATGCTCTTGAAGTCAATTTATGCATCCTGCTAGTAAAAAAGATAGCACTGGACCATTCCTATTCTTTACTTAGTACATGTTGTGTTCATTACAATGAGGAGGGTTTTTTCCTTGCATTTTGTATCTGTGTCATATTTGTGTTATATTACATTTTTTCTACCATTGTCCATTCCAAAAGCTACTATGAAGGAAATGATATTCTTTAATTGAAGAGATGTGTGGGTTTTACAAAGTGTCCAAAAGGACTAATACATAAACAAGCAAATGTTTCATTATTTGTGTACATCCTTCACCCATTAAGGATACATTAGCAAGCAGTTAATATAATACAGAGCCTAAAGAATGTGTATATGAAGAAGCACTTGAATAGAAGCTATCATAGTTTAATGGCAGACATCATAAGAGACCTCAAAGTATTGAGCCATGAAAAAATAAGGATCATAGGTTCATTAACATATAGTTCTTTTTAAAAAGGCAATTAGAAAGAATGAAATATCAAACTAGTAAAAATATATGAATAAAGCATCATGAATGTTCCATACATTTCTGAATACTTGTACTGTAGGCTTCAATTTGCAAATGACTTTGTTCTAAATCCAGTAGACTGACCCAGCAAGAATATATAGCTCATATTCACATACAGACATCAAAATGTTTGGGACCAATTTGCCAAAGGAAGTCCTTGATACTTGTAATGAGTTCATTATCATTGGGCTGCTTTCATTTTTGCCATTGGATGACCAAAAAAAGAGAGAAAGCAGTAAGACTGAGAATTGCCATGATGTGGATGTAACTTGTACTGAGAAAATGCCTCTAGATACATTGTACTTGGCAATATATATAACAGAGATTATAGGTGGGGGAAATTTAATTTTAAACTCAAGTGCCAGAGGCATGTGTTTCAGATGAAACACTAAAGCACCAAAGTATTGGAAAACATGCTAATATTTGTAATGTAGTAAGTAAAAACAAATCCTTCCTGGTTTAGGGTGCCAGTGAAGACAAACGTATAAGAAATGCATGAAGATATTCAAATGAGCTGTTACTTGAATAATATATACATTTAAAGTAGGAATGGGTCAGAATTTGGATTTACCAAAAGGTGCACATTTCTTCGTGGAAAGAAACAGAATATAAAACTTCAAATGTGGAAAAAACCAAAACTTTCTCAGATTTCTTGGTTTTGGTTCTCACCAACTATGTTGATTGAAATGGGATTCCTGGAACTCACAGGTGAGGGCCTCCAGAATCTGCAGATCTAAACTGGGATTCATTCGTTCAACTTCAAATGTTAATTTGTGAGAAATTAGAAGAGTAAGGTAAAGCAGACAACCAAAGTAACCTGTAAAGAAGCTCTAAAAAGAGCCCGCTGTCTCTGTGTGTATGGGGGTGGGTGAAGGGCGGATGATAAGAATGGTGATATTTTGTGTCAGTCCAAGAATCAATTTTTTCCCCATGGGTTGAATGTTTTAAAATGCCTTTAAACTCTGTAGGTATCTTTCTGGGGCAACTTTATATCACACTATGTTATAGATTAAGCTTTCAATGGTTGCATGAGGCAGTGATTGACGTTGGCATATCAATAGTTCTAAACTGACCTAAGTTTCTATGTGTAACTTTTGGCCTATCCTATCTCACAGTTCAGTGAGGTTGTTGGTATATGAGTGTGCATCTTAGACTAGATTAAAAATTCTAATAAGTCAGTACAGTGTGTGGAAGGATAAGTATATTGTATTTGTAAAGCCGAATGTCAAGTAATTTGCATGTGATCTAATTATATTATTGTAAAATTTATCTGTTATTAACTAGTACTAGGCATTATTAACTCCAACTAATAGCAAGAACGGTACCTCTAGCTGTTTTCACATTGGCATACCACCTACTCAATCATCTCTGCAGTGTTGACACTGTGAGAGCACTTCTGTGAACATATAACATCCCTTAAACTAGAATGGATTTCTCCCCATGGGAAACAATGTGTACTATTGAGTAATTCTGCAGTCAGCATTCCTATGAATATCAGAATGGCTCCACAGGGTCAATCATTGAACCGAATTTGAAGATCCACTTCTCATACTGTGTGTGACTTCAGCAAGGCAGTGTCTCTCTGTTTCATTTCTTAGTCAACAAATATAGAAATAGCCATGCCTTACTTCCTAAGGTGATGTAAGTGTCCACTCAAAATATATCATGTAAGTGTGAAAAATAGGTGCTCACTTATGCAGGCCCACTCATCAGGGAACTGTGATTCACTATAGCTTCCTATACATATACATACAGTGCAAAAGTTAAAGCTGGGAAGTAATTAGTTACAAAGAAGAAGTATATTTAACTAACTAAGTATTGGTAATTAGTTCCTTTCTTCAGTAACAGAGGAATAACTATAGTACATGAAGGTTGTAACTTAACAAGTGGTAACACTACTCATTTTCTGGTGGAACTGTAACCTCTAGTTGCAAGGTATGCCCATGAAATGGCAGAGGAGAAATATCTTACTTATGCTGGCTCTCATTTTGTAGTCTCGTGTTTTATTGTGCTTGTTGCGGCAATGACAAGGTGGATGGGATAGTCATCTATCTATCTCCTGCATGCCTATCTCCCTATCTCATAACAGTGTCTTGTGGCACGGGCTTTTGAGAAGTGGCTCCAAGTTATTGTTAAGAAGCATGAATGAAAAGAATTGTGTTAGAATTGCCAAACATAGTGGCAACCGGCTACTTTTGGAGGCCTTGCAAGAATAACAATAACTACTAATTAAAAATTCCAAGCTCTGGGCAAGAACAAATGCATTAATATTTTTAGATTGCATCAAAGAAATATAAGATATTAATAGGACAAACAGGTATTTGCCTTGCAGGTGTAAAGAGTATTCATTCACTAAACTCTTCCTTCTTGCTGATGTAGAATCTTGACTCAACTAGACAATTCCATGAGGAACATTTATGTTTTAGCAGATTTCTCTCCTCCAGGTGACAGGAAGAGACAGAATACTATTCC